TAAATATCATCATATAACTCCAATACGACATGTCTTTGTTGGTAAGTGTGTGTCTCCTCCTCTTTGCTGCCATCTTGTTTCTCCTAACTAGGTTAGGAGACCTTTCCAGCTCTCGGAGCGGAGACCAAATCTTAACACTTAGGAACCTTTATGAATCACTCTTAGGCCCCATTTACACTAGTGCATTTTCATTTTAAAACAATGTTTTAGAATGAAAACAATCCTGGTCTACACTGGCGTTTCCGCTGCGTTTCAGAAATGATCTCCGTCTACACTACACAACCGAAAACGCATGTCACGTGACCATTCATGCAGGTACAACCATAGATATGTATAGGTAGATTCCCTATTATTTAGATGGCAGATGCGTCTACGTGCTTAGAGAGGTCCAATGGGGAAACTACCCATACATATCTATGGGTACAACAATGAGCATGATGTTATTGTTTACACGGCCGTCAAGGATATGCAGAGCAAATGTGGGCAGCCACGCCATCGTTTTCAAAAGTCTCAGTTTTGGTTCGTTTACACTGAAACGCAACCCCGGAGTTTTCTAACTAAATCGGGGTCTGCAGCGTTTTCAAAAGTCTGTTTTCGAGGGTCGAAAACGCCAGAGTAGTGTAAACGATAGGCGTAACCATTGCAAAAGTTATGTGTTTTAAAACGAAAACACACTAGCGTAAATGGGGCCTTGTTATTAAATCTAGGAATAAGAGTAAAATTACGTCATTCTTAGAATTTTGACACACTTAAATATTGTGACAGTAACCCCACACAACAGTGGCCAAAAGTGGTGGATTTTTTTTTTTTTTATGACTCCACATTTCACTTAAATCATCAAAATAAGAAAGGGAAAAAAAAAACACTGGCCAGTGTTGCCAACTGTTTTCAATTGAAAGTAACTACAACAATTGTTATATGTTGTTAGATGGAGGTCATAATGGTGAGTTCACTGATCTATATAAATAGTCTTGGAATCTAAATAAGGTTTGTCCAAGAAATTGAAATTGATGGTTGCTAGGCTTTTGAAAAAAGTCTCAAAAGGGGTGAGGAAGTCACAAAATCTAGTGACAAAATCACTAAATTGGCAACATTTACACTGACTACAATATAATCAGTTATTAATATTTTTTTGGTCCTCTCTTGTTTTTGCATGTGTTCATCATTTCTTTGTGTGACAGCATGGCCAAAAATTATGACCACACAATTTGGCATGTTTCATTGCATTATTATCATGAATAAAACAGTTGACTCTTAAGCAACTATGCAACATGCTTACAAAATCATTAACACATTTTTTTTTCTTTTGGCCACTACTATATGGCAGTTCATTTACTTTCCAACTGACCGTCAAACCATGCTGCAAAAACTAGCCACTTTTATGAGGATTGTGGGCTTTCCTGGAGTTGTTGGAGCTGTTGTTGGAACTCATGTTCACGTCATTGATCCAACTGTAAACGAGGAGAAATACCAATAGAAAACAATTTCAAAGCATCAGTAATAATTTGTGATAACTTTGCACAATGCAAAGCATTTAAATAAATACATTGAAATATTAAATAGCGTCTTAATGAAATGATTGTATTGTAGTTACATTAAATGATTGGTGTTGTGCTGCTGTGGCTTCACATGAGCAGGCTCACTATTGGCTGATTCAGAGGTCGACGGCAGCCATTTTGGGTTGACATCATTGTAGTCCTTAGTTCACAACACTTAAGTGTCACCTCAGTCATCTGTGTGCATTGAATTTATTTAATACACGAGTTTCACAATTTGAGTTGAATTACTGAAATAAATGAACTTTTCCACGACATTCTAATTTATTGAGATGCACCTGTACATTAAATGATTGGTGTTGTGCTGCTGTGGCTTCACATGATCAGGCTCACTATTGGTTGTTTCAGAGGTCGAGGGCAGCCATTTTGGGTTGATATCATTGTAGTCTTTAGTTCACGCAACTTAAGTGTCACCTCAGTCAACACTTAAGAATCAGTCTTAGACTTTACTGAAAGTTGCTTTTAGCTTCTTTATAAAGGTCTCCTACTCTTAGACAAGTCCTACTTTTTACTAAGAATTTTTTGACACTTAAGTCAACGCTTAAGACTATTCTTCAGAGCATTTCTGAGAAGTTTTATACATACGGGAGACCAGATAAACATTTAAAAAATCTGAGGAAAAATGTCCCAAAACAGGTGAATGAATCTTCCTCAGAAGAGTGACAAAAACAGCAACTTTATTATAATATAAAGACTTATATTATAATTACATCCATAAGCTTTTTGTGAAATTTGGATTAACTCATTAAAGGGATAGTTCACCCAAAAATGAAAATTTTATGTTTATCTGCTTACCCCCAGGGCATTCAAGATGTAGGTGACTTTGTTTCTTCAGTAGAACACATATGATGATTTTTAACTCAAACCGTTGCAGTCTGTCAGTCGTATAATGCATGGCAATGGTAACAAAATCTATGAGAGTAAAAAAAACATGCACAGACAAATCCAAATTAAACCCTGCGGCTCGTGACGACACATTGATGTCCTAAGACACGAAACGATCGGTTTGTGCCAGAAACCGAACAGTATTTATATCGTTTTTTACCTCTAATACACTACTATGTCCAACTGTCTTTGGGCACGCGCACGGCATCCGGTGCATGAGGTGTGTACACGGTCTCATGATAGACTGCAACGGTTAAAGTTAAAAATCATCATATGTGTTCTACTGAAGAAACAAAGTCACCTACATCTTGGATGCCCTGGGGGTAAGCAGATAAACATCATATTTTCATTTTTGGGTGAACTATCCCTTTAATCTGTTGTTTGAGCACTTCATATTTAAAGAGAGAACTATAGTTTCCAAAGCCGGACATCGCTTATGATTTTCAAGGGCGTAGACTTTAGTAGAGGTGCTCTGACATGATCCTAACAATATCAGCCACTACTAAATTGTCCCTTGCAATAATTTTGATCAAACAAATAAATGTCTGTTGTCTGCCGTTATGTTCCCACCAATACCGAAATCAAACAATGCTTTTGCTTACTTAAATTATTTAACATTTTATTATGACATAAACTTGAACGCATTTTACTAATCAGACTTTTCCCAAACTATAATTCAAGAATAAAATGTTTGAAAACCAATGAAACATTTTGAAATATGATTCATTGCATCTAAATGTCGTACAATGCAAGGATGTTTTCATGCTGTGTATAATATAATACAGTACTATATAAAAAGTAATATGAGTATACCTGCATATAGTCTTCACTAAACCACTGAATGATGATGGCCCATTAGGGGAGGCCCTTTGTCTCTCAGCTGTGAATCACGAAATATTCATGGCCATTGTCTCTCCTTCACATACAACCTTTCTAACACAATCATGTCTTACAAAAGGTAAATCAATATATTGTTTTCTGTGAATGAGTGAACAGGACAATTTTCACATCAATTTGTAGCAAAATTCTAGTCCACATCCAGTTCTCAAAAGTAACAAATTGTAAAAGTCTCAAATTGTTAACAAATGTTCTGTATGTGTACGGCCTTATTTCAGTGACTTCCAGTGACAAAAAATAGTTAACCACACCTAAACATAGTTTTCTCAAAAACACAAATATGTACATTCATGCAGCTTACATATTATTGTAGCCCAGTTTGTGCTGATTATAGTGTAATCAGACTTTAGTCATTAATATTTTTTTAAGATACTGAAAAAGCACAAATGTCTGGGCATGTAAAAACTTTTCCAGGGACCCAAAACCCCTCAGACCCCAGAGGGTTAAAAATGTCCTTACCAGCAATCTTCAAAATATCTTCTTTTATGTTCAACATAAGAAAGCAACTCATACAGGTTTGGAACGACATGAGGGTGAGTAAATGATGACAGAATTTTAATTTTTGGGTGAACTATCCTTTAATGATTGTTAGGCTGTCTGGTTATTAGCTAGCAGCTCAAATTACAAATAGTTTGAGTTGCATAAATTGTTGTGTGCTGGGTTATTTGCCCAGTTAAAGAACTACTTGTGTGTTAATAATAGTTATAACGTTATGCAACCATTAGTCAGGAGTGTATGCAGTTAACATGGATCCCCTCCACAACAGTATTACCTTCAGTGAAACTCCTCCCACAACAAATCATACCTTCAGTGAAGCTCCTCCCACAACAGTATTACCTTCAGTGAAGCTCCTCCCACAACAATCACACCTTAGGTGAAGCTCCTCCCACTGCAGTTCATCAATAAATGCTGGAATATTCCCATCAGTCTACAAGTGAAGACGAGCATCAAAGCATCAGGAAGAAGTGAAATCTGCAGAGACAGAGTTTATTGAAGGACAGAGAGAACATGAGAGATCCAGAACCCTGCAGAATGAAACACACTGAAGAACAAACAGGTTGGTGTTTATTCTTGATTCTTCAGTAATTATGGACATTAAGGTTGTAAAGCATCAAACAGTTTGTCAGATTTTGATTTATTGTGATAGGAAAGATATATAGAGCTGTGCAATAATATAGTTGAAGCAGCAAATAGTAAGGGTTCTCACTATAGAAACATGGGTTTTGTGTGTAATGTTTTAAAATGTTTAATAATTATTCTTATTAAGTATAACTGGAAGAACAATGTACCTTACTCCAGAAAAGATTCAGGGACATATCATTTATAAAAATGATCAAAATATTTTGTGTAGCAATTGTCTACTTTGCACATTTCTCTCTGTGATTTGCTAAAAATGTTGTATTTTACTTTAATTTCAGAGTCGATTGAAGAAAACGAGGAGAATGAAGAACTGAATGAAGAGGAGAAACATCACGTCAAAACTGGAGAAAAACCTTTGAGTCGCTCTCAAACCAAAGAGAAAGATTTAAAGAAAAGAAGAGACAAGAAATCCTTTACCTGCACTCAGTGTGGAAAGAGTTTGAAACGCAAACAGAGTCTCAATGTTCACATGATGATCCACACTGGAGAGAAACCATTCACTTGTGATCAGTGTGAGAAGAGATTCACAGAATCAGCAAACCTTAAGAAACACATGATCATCCACACTGGAGAGAAACTGCATGAATGTGATCAGTGTGGAAAAACATTTTTGTGGGCTTTAAGCCTGAAGAATCACCTGAAAGTTCATACGAAGGAGAAACCACATTCATGCTCTTTGTGTGGAAAGAGTTTTTCACATCTGCAAAGTTTAAAACTACATCAGAAGATACACACTGGTGTGAGAGATTATATGTGCTTTGAGTGTGATAAGACTTTTATTACAGCTAAAGTATTGAAACTGCACGAGAGGATTCACACTGGAGAGAAACCTTACAAGTGTTCACACTGCGACGAGAGATTCAGTCAGTCAGTACATCTGAAATCACACGAGAGGATCCACACTGGAGAGAAACC